GCAATGGGTCGCTGTGAGAAGGCTGCAGCTTGTATTCGCTCAGAGCTGGTGACATTGGGAGGCCTGGGCAAGGAGCAGCAGCTTGCTTCCCCAGCAGAGGGGGCACGCGGGTGCCAATCCACCTTAACAGACCTGTCCCGGCAGGATGAGAGAAGTGAGAGTCTTCTCACATAGGAGCTTGTACTTCAGGGGCAGAACAATTGAATCTGGGTCACAGTCGATCACAGTCGTGGGTTGCTGGGGCTTATGAAATGTCCCTATTTGTAAACATCAGTGTGGTTTTTACTGTAAGACCTTCATGTGTAAAATAAAGTCCCGGTCTGCCTCTGCAAGTAGCTTCATAAGCAAAAAGTACTTGAGCTTGATGTGCCTTGGCATGGACATCTGTCCCTCCGCCAGTGCCACCCAGCCTCCACCCCCCCCCCTCGGTGCTGGCATCTCTGGGCAGAGGGCCCTGGGGCAGCATCCGTGTGCAGAGTGAGGATGCCTGCCGTTTGCACCAGTCTTGTGCTCAGAGTTAGGGTGGGCAAACCACAGCTGATTAAGGGGGAGCGGACTCTTCTGGAGTTACCCCATTACCAGGCTGCTTCTGGTGGCTGGAATCACACAAGACTTCTTTAATGTTGGGATTCCCTCCCACCCCAGCTGAGGGCTGGACATGACTGATGTTCTGGCAGTTTGCTGCTGCTCTGAGCATTGGCCCATGTGAGGACCTGGAGATGCCTGTCCCACATTGGAGCTCCTACTCGGACTCTGCAGCTTGAGGCCTAAATGCAGATACCCCCATGCTGCAGCCCAGCCAGTGCCTGTTGGACACCAGAGCGCAGAGAGATGGGCTAGTACAGCGCTCTAGTTAGACTTGCTGCAATGTGCCCATCCCATGGCATACAGTCTGTAGCAGCAAAACCACATGGTAGCAAACTGGACCAGTGCTCACAGACAAAAACCCTTCTAGATTCCCCCTTATGGTGTCTCTCTTTCTCCCCCCCCCCCCCCCCCCACAAGAAACTGAGGCTCTACCTACACTGTGCCGTCCACTCATCCCCCTTCCCTCCCACTTTTCCCCAAAGGAGCCTAGGAGAGCGGGTAACTCTTGTACTGAGACTTGAAGGGAAAGATTTGGTCTCTGGGGACCCAGTGAGAGAAGTGACTGGTCCAAGGGTATGGTGGAGTCAGGAATAAATCCCAAGAGCTCTGATTTCCAGCTGCTAGAGACTGTTCCCAGCCTGTACTGGTTACAGGTGACCACCTAGTCTCTGCCCTTCGTTCCTAGATAGTATGTATTAAATTCACTTCTGTAGCCCGTTATCACTGTCATAGGGAGCAATACCGCTCCATGAATCCCAGAGCCCAGGACGCTGCCTTACCTGCTGTGAGTGTAACGCTGGGGGCTGGAACCCAGAGACACAAGTGAGGGTGGCAGGCAACAGCAATTGGGAGGAGTGGGGTGATTGCACAGTCTTACAGGTGAGCTGTGGGCACGACTGGATCGACCAAGTAACTCCTCATTTCCTTGACATTTGTTTCAACCTCTGCCTCTGTTTCTACTTTGGCCTGTTTCTGTCCATGCATTTGACTTTCCTCAGCAGGTGCTGAGCAGTTGTTGGGCCAGCCGTTGAGGCTCGGATCCTAAAGATTTTGCTCCTGGGGTTGCGTCTTCTGTTGGGTGAGACATTCTCTGGTGTTTAATGTCAATTCCTCGGGCTGCAAAAGAAAATCCTTGTTAATGAGCCGGCATCCGCTGTAGATTGCAGACTTAGGGAGGTCAGAGGCCTGCATCTGGGTTGTATGTTCTAGGATGAAATAGACGGCGGAATAGTATTTTCCATCGAGTTGGAGGTTTGCTGTAATTCCAAGGTGGGCAGGCTCCAGCCTCCCAAACCGCACCCATTCGTTTACATTGTCTTCAACAAGTTTCTGATGCAAAGTAGCCACAATTCTGAGTGCAAGGGGAAGCCTGCAGCAGGGATCAAGTCCTGAGCAGACTGAACCTAAGGAGCTCTAATGGCTGTAATAGGGAGCTGCATTGGTTTACCCCAGGGGTTCTCAAACTGAATTGCACTGCAACCCCCTCTAACAACAGAGTTACTACATGGCGAGGGGGGGGAGAGCCCGAGCCCTGTTGCCCCACGTGGGGGGACATGGGGCTGCAGCCTGAGCCCCGTTGCCCTGGGTCAGGGTGGAGCTTGTGCTTCAGCCATGGGTCCCAGCAAGTCTAATGCTGGCCCTGATGAGCCCATTGAAATGGGGTCCTGACCTCCATAAGAACGGCCGTACTGGGTCAGACCAAAGGTCCATCTAACCCAGTATCCTGTCCTCTGACAGTGGCCAATGCCAGGTGCCCCAGAGGGAGTGAACCCAACAGGTAATGATCAAGTTTGAGAACTGCTGGTTTACCCATTAATGTTTCCAGGTGATTCTGGTGCTTGTGGGTAGTATTAGGCCCTCCTATGCACAGCTCTGGTCTTGAACCCGCAGTAATCCTTCCTCCTGCAGGAATCCCTGGGTGCGATTCTGTGCTGGGTAGATCAGGAAAGCTTTATTTTTATTTATATTACCATAGCACCTCAGCGCCCCAGTCATGGGCAGGACCCCATTGTGCTAGGGGCTGTACGCAGACAGCCCCTGTCCCACAGAGCTTACAGTCCACCCAAGATGAGGCAATGGATAGATACAGACGGGAGTACAAGGAGACGGTAGTGGCCAGCATGGCAGACAGTGGTCTCAGTGGCCTGTCAGGTTGTCTGGCCCATCACTGTCGTATCTGAGCGCTTCACACTCTGTACTGTATTTATCCCCTCAACACCCCTGTGAGGCAGGGCCACGCTCTTACCCCGTTTTCCACATGGTCACTGAGGCTTGGGGCGCACGGTGACTTGCCTGAGGGGTCCCAGGAAGACTGGGGTGGAGCAGAGACTGGACCCCTCTTCCTCTGACTAGATGATCATAATGGTCCCTTCTAGCCTTAAGGTGACTGGTGTGGCCAGTTCCAATGCAAGCGTCCCCACCAGCTGGCTTTTAAGCTGTGGGTCGAGGGGGGAGACGCCCTCTAGAACTGAGGGCCGTGCACTCTCCCTGACCCCCCCCCCACTTCTGAGCCTGTCCATGACTCGATGTTGGTGGGGTTCTGTCAGTGGAGGTTTTGCCCACTGGGAGCTGAGACGAGTTTGTGGGAGTAGCTCTCGCAGCAAAGTCCATGTACTCTCTCATTCACTCCCTGGACTTCTCCAGGCCCAGTTGCAAGGGGGCATTAATAGTGCTTCCCTGCCATTCGCTGCTTACTAGCCTTGCCGATGCATTTGCCAGGTTTGTAGCTTTCCCCTTATTAAAACTCCCTGTTGCCCCTCCCGCTCTGACTGCATGGCAGCTATTTCTGCTGGAAACTTTTTTTCCTCTCGCTCTTTGAAGGGTCTTTATCACCACAAGATGCCTTAAGCAGCTGGTAGACAGCGGTAACTGGTATGCAGTGAGATGCCCCGCGATTCCCTGTCATTGGTGTCGCATCCCATGAGTGCTATTAATCACTAGCCGATAATGAGCTTGCCTAGCGAGCAGCTTTTCCACCAGAGCCTGTGAGAGTGGAGGACGTGCACTGAGCTTGCCAGGTTACCTTAATTAAGGAGCCCTTTTTAGTGTTTTGGTGGGGAGGTGAAAACAGTATGAGTGGGAACGAAGGTGCTGTGTGCAAAGGCCTCTTAATGAGAGGCCTTCCGGTTCCTTCCCCCCTCCTGTAGGAAATGCTCGGGGTGCTGTGTAATCTGGAGCTGAGACATGCCGGGCTGTAAAGCCTGGATGCAGTGGGCTCCAGCCTTGCAAATGAGTGTGAAAATTTGCACGATTCAGTGGTTTCCTGCGATAAAACCGAGCCTCCCTCCCCCCCCCCCTTTTAATCACTGAGCTGCTGTTGAGTTCTCCTGAGAAACCAGTGGAACCTGCCGTTCCGTTGAGAGGCTGCTCCAAAAGGCAAGGAGCTCTGTGGCTGCTAGTGCCGGCATCTGAGTCTGATGCGGGTAGAGGCCTAAGGGTGGCCCCTGGTTAGCTGCCAGGGCTGATGCGTCTTTGGCGGGCTGGCGGCCTCAGATGGTGCCATGGTGCATCGCCATTCATTCCTGTTCCAGCCTCTTGCAGTGTGCATCGCCACGCGGAAGTGCCTCTTGCAGGGTCTTGGAGTGTTGACCAGCAACGGGCACTGCATGTGTGGGTGTGAAATGGGAGGCTCGTGTCTCTGGAGAAGACCTGTTAATGAGGAAGCTACCAGCCACCAACCTGGCTAAGCAATGATCGAAGGGTGGTCGATGTGATCTGTGGGGGGTAAGCCCCCCCGGGCAAGAGGGGCTGGAATTAGGCGGAATGGGACAAAACTGAGCAAAGGCAAGCGGAGGCTGAGTATCAAGAATAACCTCCTGATAACAAGATAGGCCAGGCTGAGGAGCAGTCTCTTAGTGGATGGGGGAGGTGTCTCTGTTGCCTGGGAAACTTTAAGACTGAACTGGAAGAAGTGCTGCTGGGGACAGTCCTATGCTGGCTGGAGGGGTGAAGAGAGGATGGGGGTAAATTTTGATCCCTCAAATCTGCTTCTTGGGGCTTGTCTACATGATAAAATTGCCCAGAATAGCTCCCTATGTAGACACTCGGTGCTCTGGAATACCATCACTTTATTCCATAATTGCTCCACTTTGGAAGTGCAGTAATTATTCCAGAATGAAGTGACTTATTCCAGGATCGTGTGTCCACATGGGGAGATTATTCTGGATTAGTGCTTGCTCAGTAGCTATTCTGGTTAAATTCACTGTGTAGTCAAGTCTTTATGATCCAGAGAAGCCGTGAAGGATCCAATACACTAGAGCCCAAGGGGTCAGCCCCTCCTCCTGTTCTCTGTGCTGCTGTCTGGGTGAGTCCCTTCTGCTGCTCAGGGCCTCCTGTGCAGTGCACTGATTGGCTGGCTGCACCTTCACTTTTCGCCGCTACCAGGCTTATTTGGGTTTTCCTCTTCGTTGCAGGACAAGAACCGGAAGCTGCGCCCGCTCTATGACATTCCATACATGTTTGAAGCCCGGGAGTTCCTGCGGAAAAAGCTCATCGGAAAGAAGGTAAGAGACTGGATCAGCTAGAGCTGCCATCTTGTTGGACCTCATGGGCCGAGCAGACTCCGACCAAGGAAAACTCAGTTGCTACTGGAAGAAGTGCTGAAAATACGTCTGGTAGCGCTCTCCATCACATTGTACAAAGCTGATGTCTCCGTGAGGTGTGTGTGTGGGGGTGCTGTGCTGCTGGAGCTGCTGTTCCTGGGAATGAGAGGGGAACCCACCCCTTGGCTGTGGTTCGACTTCACAGCAGCTTGTTCTGAGAGTGTCCCAGGGGAAGTTTAGGGAGCAGAATAGAATTCATGTTCCTCCAGCTGACTGGCGCGACCGCTGTTGGTGCTTTCCCACTCCAGACACGGCTGCATGTGCTTAGGGGATGGTTAAGAATTCCAGCCCCGTAAGCGCTTGGGAGTAGAAGGTGCTGGCGAGAGATACCGGAGTGTTATCCTTTGTTTTAGGAGTGGGAAGAGGGCTTCTTGCCAAAGAAATGGCCCCAATGCTAAACAGAAGCAAGCAAGCTCCCTTTGGGCTCTAAGGTTCTTTAAAACGCACAGGCGAAGAACTAGCCCGTTGTTCCTGTGTAGCTAGCTGCATGCTGTGCAGTACGTTCCTCTGTCCTTGGAGTTTCGCTTTCAACCATCTGCTGCAGTGAACGTTGAGAGGTCTGGGCTACAGTCCCAGGACACGTCCTTTCCATGTCACTGGAGCATACGTGGATCTAGACCCCAGTGACTGAATGTGGCTGGGAAGGTGGAAGCTATCCTGGCTTGCTATGACAAGATGCATACAGTGTTAATGTTACATGATTCAGCATTCAGCCTAGAGATACTGGTTCTATTTTCAGCCCTGCCACTGACCTGCTGCATGACCTTCGGCAAGTCAGTTCTCTCCGTGCTTCTGTTTTTCTTCCCCTCTCTGCGTTGCCTGTTCAGCTGGTAGTGTGCAGGGCAGGGACTGTTTCTTACTGTGTGTACAGCACCTAGCGCAGTGGGGGCCTGATCTCATGTGGGGGCTCGATGAGCCACCACAGTGCAAACATTGAATACCTCCACCTTACCTCTGTCCCCGCGTGGTGGTATGATCCAGACCTCAGTTACGTTAGTGCGTACTGTTTCTACAGTACCAGGTAACTTCCTTATTTCCACCCCCCTCTAGTTCCTTGTTTTCCTGGCCTGTTTTTCTGTGCTGGTTTAGAGCCATTCTGGGGAATGAAGAGTATAATACGCATTTTACTACTGACGCACATGCTCAGGATGCAATTTTCAAATGCACATAAAATGGTCAAATAAATCAATTTCCTCCATAGCAAGGCAGCTCATTGCTGCTCATTGAGGACTATTTCCATGCCTAATTGCATCTTTCCATTTCAGAGACTTTATATATTAAAAAGATTTGCAGGGGTTTTTTTAAGTGGCGAAAAGTCTGTCGCTTGTCTCCTTCAGGAAATGGCTGTAGGGAATTAGACCTAAAGACCCCCGATCTCTGGGCCAATGTGAGCCTAAAAGAAGGTTTCCTCCAGTAACTGGCATTTGGAAAGGGGTGGTGATAGGGTGTTAAAGGGAATTGTCTAGCAAGAGTATCTGTTCGTGGCCTAGTTCCTGCTGTCATTGGGGTGCTGACTGCTTGGTGCTGTACCGAGTGAAGGAAGACCGGCCCTGCCCCGTGGGGCTTTTCAGGCAGGCTGTATGGGCTGGTGTGTAGAGACAGTCTCCCCTTGATGCAGCACAGTAGGGTTCTTTCACTGGCGTCAGAACAGCTAGAATGACCCTGCACAAGGGGGTTTTGGGGGGAGGAGTCGCTGGAAGAAATTGTCCTTTGCTCGGCAGAGCTGCAGCCGAGGTGCCGAGGCACGTAGAGAAGCAATGATGAAAGCAGGCAAAACCCTTTGAATCCATTTCTCCGAGCGCCTGCAGCTCCCGTTTCAGGGCAGGTGGAATGACGATAAATACCAAGCGCAGCTAATCAGGCTCCAAAGCATTTTAATATTATGTCAATAACACTCCAGTGTGGGCCCTGGGGCTCTGCCTCTTCAATGTCTGCTTTAAAGAGTGATCCCCAGACAGGTGTCTCGGTGAGGGTGGAGGCCTCTCCCTCAGAGCAGCCCTTTTCCTGTTCATGTCATCTTGTTACACCCATGACCGAGCGTGCTGGAGACGTGGCTGGGCTGCTGTCTCCACAGAGCTCATTAGCAACAAGTGTGCTTATTTTTAATTTAGGCAAATGCAGGTTCTTCCGAGAAGTGTTTACATGAAAATATGGCACTTAGGCAGCTCGCGATATACTGAAGCCGTCTTAATTATGTGCTTAGAAGCACCTCGATCCCTCATTGAGTTGGAGCCTGGGGTTTGTTTGGGAAGCAGGTCTGGCAGTGTTTTGGTCCTTGTGTGTGAGGTTAAGGGCTGCAGCTCTGAAACACGAGGCTGGAAGTCTGTGGCTCTGTCGGTCTGGAGCTCTGGTTGCAGGATGCACTCTTTGAAAGGCTGGGCTGCATCTGATTTAGATGATGCCAGCCAAAACACATTCTCCTCACGCCTTGGAGGTAGCATTGGATGGATGCATTCTTGCACCGTTTCCATGGATCATGTCATGCAGCTGGACTGCAAGGTGAAGTTAGGAGTAGAGTGTTGCCTGAGATCAGTCCTGGCTCAAGTTGCTCTTGAATTAGTCATGCTTGTGGTAGACTTACTGCCGGTAATAGCTCGGTTGTCTTTTCCAGCTAGGTCAGCCAGAGCCTTAAGAACCCGTGTTTAGCTCCATACAGGTGTGTTCCCTTCCTGCATGGCCTCTAACTGCTATGGGGAAGCCAGGAAGCCTTGTCTTTCAGATCCCTCTGCACCATGTAGCTTGTGAGCAGAATGCACGGTGAAGAAAGGCTAGTGCATTAGTGCGAACGTTGTGTGTGCCAGTGGGCGTGTCCTTGGGAGCAGCTCTCTGTGCGAGAGGGGTGTGAATGTTACATGCTCAACTTGGAATGAGTACATTGTGTAGGTGCCGGGGGGCCCTCAGAGAAGATAAATAACAGTAAAGGATTCCCCTTAATCTCAGCAAACTTTCTGCTAGAGCTTGCTCCTGAACTTGGCTGTTCCAAAGTTTGCTCCTGGTAGAACTTCTGTCCCTGCCCCTAGCTGGCTCTGTCCTTCTATATCCTGGGTTGAAACTAATAGGACCCTGATCTGAGCTGTTAGTGTGAGTCTTCAGAATAACTGTGCCTCTTTAAGGGGCTGGTTACCAGTATTGGGCAGAGCTTAGACTGGAGGTGGGCTTGGTACTGGGGAGATGATTTGTGTGAACGTTATTGTGCAGTAGCTGGGTTTGCTGAGACGTTTGTTGCTGCGTCTGGTGGCAGGACTGCGGCGTTCAGAATATAGAACTCTGTAATGGGTTGAAATGCCTCGGCAGCCAATGGGAACAGCTCTTTGTACGGCGGGCTAGATTGTAGTTGATGTTGGGGCACCTAAGGCTATTTGTAATAGGTGCTCTCTTGTCATTAGAAATCAAAATACTTCACCTGGGAGCTTCTGCTTAGAGTAAAATGGCTTCCCACGGAATCCGTTCTCCGCCTGCAGGCGGATCTGATGTCCCCTCAGAATTGCAGTGAATGGGAGCAGGGAGCAGTTCAGTGCCCCTGCAGCAGGGGTGAGCATGTGGGTATGCTCAGCTGTGGGAAGCATGCTGTTCACTGATGCCGGAGGTTTCATGCCCAGACCACAGCTCTTTTCCCCATCCGTGTCTCAATGCAGGGACACGTCCCCTGTCTTCTTATCCCCTGTGGGGTTAGCTAACGGGAAGAGCTGTCTCAGGGCTGCTCCAAAGCCAAAGGTGCTGGTAATCCTCATTGGTCTTCCAGGCCTTTAAGTTCTTCCTTTCCTGGTTTAGATACCGCCTCCCCCCCCACTGGTTTGTTCTCCTTCATCTCCTCTGCCCAGGGATGTACCCCGATACCTAGTTCCTTCAGAAACACTCCTTTGGGACTCCCTCTCCTCTGCTGCTGTGTTCCTGCCTGTGCACCTTGCTTCGAGCGTCACCACTTCTTTCTAGATGTTTTGTGTTTGATATGTTAGCAACTTTACAAATCCCTCCTGCTCAGCTACCGAAACACGCGACATGAACATGACAGTCGGCATGCCCCTTTGCCGTGCTATGCAGTGGCCTAGTCAAGTGCATCTTGCTAGAGAGTGGAACTTCACTGTACTTCTGGGCATGTGGCTTTAGGGAACTTCTATAAGCTGGGCACCAATTTTCTCCTCACTAACTAGCACATCAAGTCTCTTCTAGTTATTAACTCTTGGATCGATTGACCTAGGGACGTGGTAGCTTCTTTAAATCAAGTCTGTCTGTCTGTCTGTCTGTCTGTCTCTCTCTCTCTCTCTCTCTCTCTCTCTCAAAAAAAAAAAAGTCTGCTATAGCTTGCACAAGCTATGGGCTTGATTCAGAAATCCTAGAAATGTTGAATCCCTGGGTGAGGTGAGGTTCTCTGGCCCCTGCGATGCAGGAGGTCAGATGAGATGATTGGAACATCCCTTCTGCTCTTGAACTCTACAGATTTAACATGCAAAGAACTATGTTAAATGTCATGAAGTTTTGCAGGTGAGTACCGGATAAATAATCAATGAGCTAAGTATAGATTCTCGGGCCAGAAGGGACCATTGTGATCATCTCGTCTGACCTTCTGTATGACACAGGCCAGAGAACTTCCCCCAAATAATTCCTAGAGCAGATTTTAGAAAAAGTCCAATCTTGATTTTAAAAATTGTCAGTGATGGAGAATCCATCATGATCCTTGGTAAATCATTCCCATGGTTACTCACTGTTTTTTAAAAAAAAAATTTAAAATGTTTACACCTTCTCTAGTCTGAATTTGTTTGACTTCAGCTTTCAGCCATTGGATCATGTTAGAGCTTCCTCTGCTAGATTGGAGAGCTCATGAGCAAATACGTGTTCCCCAGGTAGGTACTTACAGACTGATCAAGTCACCCCTGAACCTTCTCTTTGTTAAGCTGAATAGA